ATGCAAATACCCATAGATACTAAAAATGTTTAACAATCTTCATTTGTCTAATATAAATTAGGATCGGCATCAACACAAACTTAATTAACACATTTTTATAAAGCACTATCCCATTTACAATTTAATCCTGTAAATGTAGTTTAGCATTGTTCTTCAAGGGCTACTTCACAATCCATCTTTTTATCTGTACATCCATTCAAAATTTTAGAATTTAATAGTACTTATATATTAACTGTGCACTAAGGTAACCACTCTTCACATTTTTAATTTCTATTATAATATTGAGGGGCAGTCTAACATTTTTTCTCTATACAACCTTAATTTACAATACAATCACTTCCAGTTGAATCAGTTTAACAATACTCTATTTCATAAATATTTTCACAGATGTAATCTGCACAGCCTAAAGAATCTAATTGAAAAGTGCAAAATTAACTTGCTTTTTAGCATATATTATGATTTGAATAAGTTGGTAATTTCAATTTATTACATTCTAATTGTATACAATTCCCATTTATCCAAGTACATCTTTCTTTATTATAATTAAATTCACAAAATTATTCTTCCAAAATTTATTCGCATGATTGAGGTGTCAATAAACATCCTCCATTTAATTTCCCTATACAATTTCCATATTCTTCACAATCAGATGGACTTTAATAAATTGGAGCATGATGACATTATCTATATTCACATTTATGATAAAACCAGATACAATTTTATTATTCCATAGAATAACAATCTGCTTCAGCTACATAGCCTTCACATGTTTAAGGTCTAATTTTACATCCTCCATTTTCAGATGTAACACAATCAAAAGCTATTTCATAATCTTAACATTGTTGATAATTTTAATAGTGATAAGGTGCAGTATTACAACTTTTAATTTTACATTCATTTTTATGATATTCACATTTATTTCCTTAAGCATCTGTGACACAACCAAACTTATTTTAAACATCACTACATTACATCCTCTTTATACAATAAATTCCATTCGATGTACATTCACTTAAATATTACTTACACTCGTTATCTAAAGAAAATTGTAAATTTTCACACTTTTTTTCAATACATTTTCTCCTTGTAATATCCCAAAAACAGTTTCCTTTCTAAGATTTACTTTCGACACATTAAAAATCAAATTAATATTAAGAGCATGACTCCATTTATTTCATACATCCATATCCTTAATTACTTATTGTGCAACCATCAAACCCTTCTTTACACATACTATGACTAGACAAAAATATTGGTAATTCTTCACATTTTGTAAAATCCCTGCATTTTTTATCAATACCAATAGCCCAAAAACAATACTTACCTATCTTGTTTTTATTTGCACATCCATTTTCAGTTTTATAATTATTACATTCTAACTTTTCTACACATTTTGTCCCATCTGATACACATCTCTAAGATGATTCTTGGCATAGGTTTTTGTCAAATAAGCTACAACCTAAAAAATCTATACATTAGCCCAAATGAACGCCGCATTATTTCTATTCCTCTTATGCAAAACTCTTACACAAATTCTATTACCCGATTTAATTATTGTAAATTTGACCAGAATTTAAAACACAAAAATCTTCTTTCCAAAAACAAAAACCAGAGTTTTCACAATCAATTTAATTTCTAACATGACCACAAACACAGCTTTTTGTAATTTCAGCGCTTTTTATTAAGAGAAATTGCAAAAACATCATTAAAATAAGCTGAATTTCTATCATTTTAAACTTAATTTATTTAATATAAATTTTATTCAAACTTAATCTTAATATATAAATGAAATGATGTCACTTAAATAATTTAAAATAAATTTCCT